TCAATTTCTGAGAGAGAAGGAATGGAATAAAACAATTATATGCTGGTTGTCAACTCAATACTTATGATTCCATTAGAGAGAAAAACTGTTAGCTTTATTTATCTTAGCAAATTGGAGCTTAAAGAAGTTAAGTTTAACTGGTTTTTTTTTTGTTTTTTGTTTTGGTATCGGGGGGGATTGAACTCGGGTCCTTGCACTTGCAAGGCAGGCCTCCGAACCGCTGAGCTAAATCCCTGGCCCCAAGTTTAACTTTTTTAACCATATAAGCTTGTTTAACCATATAAGTTTACATAAATAGGAGAACCATGACTTTCTATCTAGAAAATTATAAAGAGTTGCACATATCCTGTTTGACTTTATTGTTAATTGGTGTTTTGAAATTGGAAAGCTATGAAATGTATGCTTCATATTTGATCTTAAAAATTCTTTGCCCAGAGAAGACAAATGGTGACACAGCCTAATGGAAAGAGCATTCTTTCCATATATATATATATATATACAATTTCTGTATATATATTGTAATTTCTGTATATCATTTGAAGAAGGGAAACTTGTAAATTGTAAAAATTTTTGGAATTAATTTATCAGTACAACCAACATTTATTTAACCATCGACTCCATCTGATAGCTGTTGCTATACAACAATGAATAAAAAAGCTAAAATTTCCACTTTGGTCATTTTTTTAGCACAGCTGAGAAGAATGAACAGATAATAAAGCAAACACTATACAGTATATTATGTGTCATTGTAGGGGTGCTGTATGGATCTGGTAGGAAACACTGCCCACACTTAAGAATGTTTGAGGAGCGTGGCTAGGAGGAACAACATTTCACTAAGAAATTGGGGACACTTGAAGCACTCAAACTGTGGTGCTTGAACCACCAGGATTGGCATTATCTGGAGCCCCACCTCAGATCTGCTGTATCAGAAACTCTTGGGGTATGGTCAGCAATCTGTGTTTTATAAACTCCTTAGGTGATTCTGATGCAGGAAACCACTGTTGTCTCTGACACTGAATTGGAGATGAGGGAGCACAGCATGTTAAAAGAGTAGAAGCAGAGTTTGAAGTCATCAATAGCTTGAGCTGAGGCAGGTAAGTCCTGACAAGATAGTCGGAGAGCTTAGCACATTTGTAAACCATTGAAGTGCTTTTGGTAGGAAAATAGATGGCTTAATTTTCTCTTTTAGAAATATCACTAGAGAAGAGATTAGAGCTGAGTAGAAGAAGCACTTAGGAAGCCAGCGCAGCAGTAATAGCTATGACTACAAGAATGAAATAAAGTAGATAGGTCAGTTAGATATTTAGATACTTTTCTTGTTCCTAAGACAAAATACCTGGTACCCACCAGTCAAGGAAGAAAGGCTTATTTTGGCTCACATTTTCTAGCTTTCAGTCTATAGTCAGCTGGTTCCAAGTCAGAGTGGCAGAGCACAGAATCATTACAGAAGAAAAATACTTTATGGAAGGGCAGGCAGAAGGCAGCAAAAGCAGCAAGAAGCAGAAATGGCTCACATTCCTTCTCTCTCTTTATATTCCAACCAAGCTATAAATCTGTTGATTGGTAGCACCCACACCCATGGTGGGGCTTCCGTTATAGCTATGGAACTATGCTAATTCCAATCAGTGCACTGATTTAGTACCACACACCTTTAATTCCAGTATCACATGCCCTAAGTCCAGCCAGCTCTGAAAAGCCCACCTAGGAGCATACGAGGCTTTGGGGGGACATCTACATACAAATCATAACAGATCTCAAGAAGTTGACTAGAAGTGAATTTGATAGGTGGATGGGAGTAGAAGCAATACTATGAGAAATTAGAGGGAGATAGACATTAGAGAAGATTTGGCTATGGAGGAGGAAAGGAATCAACACTGACAGGCAAGAAGGATAGCATGAGACTATTGGGGAACTTTCCCCTCTTTTTAAAGATGGCAGAGACTTAATCTTTAATATTGATAAAGTGTGGCATTGGAGGGAGAGGGAAAATGGTGGGGGTAGAAAGGAATGGAAAAGGAAAAGATAAAAAAGGGAAGAAACTGAAGATAGTAGAGAAAGGAAGCAAATAGTAAAAAGGTTCTTGAAATTGTAGGAAGGGAAGAATTCAGAATAGTTGGGTGGCAGAGAGCACAACTTTTCAGACCAAAGGGGAAGGGAAAATGAGAAAGGTAGAGGAAAGGAAAGAAGGGAAAGGAATAAATATGAAAAAAAGGGGAAAAAATGGAAACAAAGTCTTTGTAAATAGGGCCGGGTGGAGGGGTTGAAGGGAGGGCAGAGGAATGGGGAAAAATAAGAGCCAAGATATATCATATAAAGGTACAAACTCCCAATGATGAATGTCATCATATTGTATACCTACAGTGTGCCAATAAATTAATAATAAAAAAGAAGCAATGAAAGAATAGAAAGGGATTAGTGAGCCCATAATTTTTCTTTTAAGTGGGAGGAAAAAAAGAGGGAATTCCAATCTGATGATCTCTGTTTTCCTCTGTTTGCTAGCTGCTGATAGAAAGATGAGAGAAGGGGGCCTAAAAGGTGGAGAATGGTAGATAAGTTAAAAATAATCACTGTGCAGAATATAGATTAATAATTAGGGAGAAAACCAAATTGGCATCAAAGTTCCACTTGAGGAGAGTTATCATGAGTTTATAGTGGGACCAATCTGCAGATATGAGAATTTTCTCTAAGCTCTCTAGAAAGCCTTAGTATGCATGGAATTAACAACAAACTGGATTCAACCAAGACCATTGCTTTGGCAGTAGAGTGAGGCAAAGAAATGAAAAGAAAAACCCTGTGTTCCTTTATTTAAAAGCTCCAAAATTTAAGCAACTCTGAAGGCTGAAGGTTTATCCTATTTCATTTGGTGCCAAAACTCTGAATGAATTGATGAACTGATAGCTTTCCCTTATCAAAGTGGTATATATTTTCACATGTTTTGCTTCACAAATGAATGTGTGTGATTATGGAGTGCTGTCTCTTACTCTGCTGGAGATGTTACATATGAAATACACACTCCATAACTATTGTTAAAACTAGAAAAATTTCTGACATCTGACCCTAATATTTTTAAGAAAAGTCTATGTAAGCAATAAAGAGGTTAAAATGAATTATAAAATCTAAGCTAGAAGAAAAGGAAAGGGGAAGATGGGGAGGATATTCTACTGGGAAAAGCTAGAAGAGTTGAGGATATAGATGTCTTCAAAGTACTGGGAATCGCTGAAAAAAATTGAAGAAATTATAACAAGCAACTAGAATGTTTCAAGTATTTCCAAAGGGAGACGTTTCTGGGTGGTTACAAATTTCAGGGTGGGCCTGTGTGTTTGGGCACCTGGGTTATAATGGAATAGAAAGTCTTCGGAGACGAGGTCAAGAAAATAAAAGGGAAGAAAATTAGATAAATTACTCTAGAGTAATGGCAAGACTCAAGGTGGACTGGAACTTTGCAAGCCAAGTTCTCTGACTTCTAATGGGTGAAGCACTGTGAATAGTATGTGAGACACCCAGGGGTATTGAACAAGATCTTTACTCTTCCCCTGGAATATAATCCCTTTAATGAAAAAAAAATAAAGCCATAAATAGTTATCGAGGGTTTTACACTGTTTTTGTGATGGTTAGTGGTTGGTAAACATTTATGTGCAGTCCATGGAAAGTCAGCAGACTATGATCACAAATAGTGGTTAAAAGCTGTCTTATTTTCTGAGCAACTTATTAGAAACCATGATTTAAAGAAAGATAGAATGTGAAATATTTAAGAAATATGTAAATCTCTCAAACTTAAGGCTTCAGGTAGAGAGATTTATTCTATGCAGTATGTAATTTTTAAAACTTTTTTTTCTGTTGTAGTTTGTATTTTTGTATTCTAATTTTGCTGCTTTTTTTTCAGTACTGGGTATCAAATACAGAGGTGTTCTACCACTGAACTGCATCCTCAGCCCCCATCCCCTATCCTCCTTTATTTTTAGATAGCATCTCACTAAGTTGCTCTGGTGGGACTCAAATTTGAGATCTTCCTTCCTCAGCTTCCCTGAGTGCTTGGATCTGGGTTTACATGTGTGTGCTACTGTGCCTATCTTAATTTTGCTTTAGTAGCCTTATTGACTATATTATTCTATTTAAAACTGCCTCGATCCCTTTTGGCTTCAAGTGAATATAAATAACAAGCAAATATATTCTAATCATTGATGTTAGGAAATAAGCAAACATATTGTAAAGCATTTTCACTTCAAATTCGACATACTTCATATAACCTAAATATATTTCACTTCTTGTAGAGCAGTGTCAAGTATCAACTGCTGTTTGGAGGTTACATTAGTTTCTCCCAAAAGAAAAAAAAATCTCCTCAAGTGTTGATGAGTGCTATTCTGGGGCTGAGGATCTGTGGGGGTAGGCTCTGCTGACCACAGGAATGTTGAGCATCAGATGCTGGCTTTGGCCAAAGAACCTTTGATGGATAATGACCTCCCTGAAATGCTGAGACTGATGGTCCTTGTGGGATCCTGCATCACCAAATGTTGGTCACTGATGGAACATACAACGTGAGAATAGAAATGCAGAATAATACAGCAATGTGACCCTATCTGTAAACCACCTGTGTTTACAGATTCCCCAAGTAACAGGTCAAAATAGACTTCCCTATGGTAAATAGTCCAATTGCAATGTTCTCCAAATTTTGTCTGTCTCATTTATTTTAAGCAACATTTCTGGGCCATGTGGCTTTTCTAGTAGACTTCAGTGACATGCAACCACCAGCTAGAGACCTTGTCATTTATTTAACTCCAACTGTCTTTAATCTTGAGGACTGTGAGAAGCCTTAGGGTTTCAGTATAATCACAGAATGTTTTGCAGAATCAGATTTTCAAAGGTTTTACTTTTGTTTCTTTGGCTGTCTCTACCAGAGAAGTCTTGTCATAATCTGTACATCTTTACATTTGTATTTGTGTGGGTTTTTATATATATATTATATATATATTTTTTTATCACTTTCTTCCTTTCTTTTTTAGTTCACAGCCATGAATGAACCACAGTGCTTTTATAATGAGTCCATCGCCTTCTTTTATAACCGAAGTGGAAAGTATCTTGCTACAGAATGGAACACAGTCAGCAAGCTGGTGATGGGACTTGGAATCACTGTCTGTATCTTCATCATGTTGGCCAACATTATATATATATTTTTTTATCACTTTCTTCCTTTCTTTTTTAGTTCACAGCCATGAATGAACCACAGTGCTTTTATAATGAGTCCATCGCCTTCTTTTATAACCGAAGTGGAAAGTATCTTGCTACAGAATGGAACACAGTCAGCAAGCTGGTGATGGGACTTGGAATCACTGTCTGTATCTTCATCATGTTGGCCAACCTTTTGGTCATGGTGGCTATCTACGTCAATCGTCGCTTTCATTTTCCTATTTATTACTTAATGGCTAACCTGGCTGCTGCAGACTTTTTTGCTGGGTTGGCTTACTTCTACCTAATGTTCAACACAGGACCCAATACTCGGAGACTGACTGTTAGCACATGGCTTCTTCGTCAGGGCCTCATTGACACTAGCCTGACGGCATCTGTGGCCAACTTACTGGCTATTGCAATTGAGAGGCATATTACGGTTTTCCGCATGCAGCTGCACACACGGATGAGCAACCGGCGGGTGGTGGTAGTCATTGTGGTCATCTGGACCATGGCCATTGTCATGGGTGCTATACCCAGTGTGGGCTGGAATTGTATTTGTGACATTGAGAATTGTTCCAACATGGCACCCCTCTATAGTGACTCTTACTTAGTCTTCTGGGCCATTTTCAACTTGGTGACCTTTGTGGTAATGGTGGTTCTTTATGCTCACATCTTTGGCTATGTTCGCCAGAGGACTATGAGAATGTCTCGGCATAGTTCTGGACCCCGGCGGAATCGGGATACCATGATGAGTCTTCTGAAGACTGTGGTCATTGTGCTTGGTAAGTTCTATTTTGCCTATAATTTACTGTATGGATTCCCAATGTCTTAATATAAACTACATTAGTCTATGGTAGTGGTGAACAACAATATGAATATGTATATTTTACAGTTGTATATGCAGGAATTATGAGGGGATGAGGCACCTTTATATTAAATATCTATGGCAAAGCTTGCCAGTCATCCTATAATTGCAGAATGAGCAAAATATTAATCTCAGTTCTATAATATAATGATGATATGAAACATGTCATTGAAGAGTTTGGCTATCTGGTATAGAAATACATACTAGAAGCACTAGCCACTCAATTTCATCTAGCTTTTGAAAGGTTTCCTTAGAGCCTAAATAGTGTAACTTTTGTGTGTGATCTCTATAGTTCAGATTTTCAGATAAAAAGTACTTTTTATAATATGAATATGCTTTCATATATAGTTCTTTTTATTAGCCTATTTCTACTAAGTTATCCTTCAGATTCTATAATTGTTATTATATTATAGCCAAGTTTATCAAGGTTTTGTATAGATTTACTAAACAAAGATTGGAAACAATAATATTTTGTGATAGTAATCTTCATGAAAATTTGTTAGTTCCCTGGTTATGTAGTAGTGATGGGTTGATCTTACAGAAAGAAGAGTTCAAACCTCATCTTACTATAAATTAGTGTATTGACAATCTGTTATTTTAAATTTTGGATTAATGTTTGATTTTTTTTTTAAACAAAGAAGTCTGTCAAAACAACTTTTAAGGGTTGGGGACATAGCTCAATGGTTGAGGACCTTCCTAGCCTGTGTGAGACCCCGGGGTTGATCCAACACCATGAAACAGATAAACAGAGCAAACAAAACTTTTATTGTTTCATCTTTTCCTATAGAAATTCAATGGAAAGTTCCTATACTTTTCTTTGCTCTGTGTAAAGCAGTATTGAAGTAATGTAGCCTTGGATCATGTGACTGCTCTGAAACACTGGGAATTTCATTCATTTTAGTCACTGGAAGGAGGCAGAGCTCTGATTCTCATCAAATAAATTCTCATTCTGGTTGGAGCACTGATCCCATTCTGTTTTGATTTGAGTGAATTATCATGGAGATCATCTCTAGCTACACTGACTCTGACCTCCCTGTGCACCTGAAAGAATGAGAGGTAGTCCCTGGAATTTTTGGCTCAATGAGACCCCTAACTATGGAACATTTAGGTAATAGTCCCATTAGACATCCCATTACCTTAGATGACAGACTGACATCACATATTGGGGAGCTGATTGGAAGTACAAGAATAGTTTCCCTGTAGAATAATTATCAAAAAGACTTTAAGTATCCTGGTGCCACAGGGATAAATTTTCTGTGATATGGGTGAAACACAGTTTACCATAGACACTATTTTTGTATAAAATTACATGACATGAGACATTTTACTTCTACATTGACTCAAAGGTTTATTTGCTGGTGGTCTAAATGTTAATTGATATTTCTCATATGCATATGCTTTTTCTGTCATTGCATTAAGTGCTGCTTATATAGGTCCAGCAAACGATGGCTAACCACCAGCAAACAATGGCTAAATTTGGACTATGAGTCTAGCAAGTTCATGGTTTAGTTTTGAACTTTATGTAATATGTAGTATATCCTGTTCTACAATATTCTTACTGATTCAGGTGAAATTAACTTTTGTGTCTCTTTGAGGCTTTTTTAGTAAGTTGAGATAATTATTTTAAGGTTTTAAAAGGCTATAGTTCTAGTGTGCATCTGTCCTAAATACCTCTTCCCCAGCTCCTAAATTTCATGAATTCCAAACTTGAATATAACAGAAATATTGTTGCCTTCTGAGATTGAAGAGAGCAGAATCCATAAAGACTGAATGTTGTTAACTTCTCCTGGAATTGATAACATTATTTTTATAGCTGCAAAATGGGAAAAGTTTTAGAATATGAAAAACTCGCATCAGGGTGATAGGTACAGAAATTTGATGAGGCAAAGAGGGAAAGTGACTGTAATAGAGGAAGCAGAGACTAAATAAATGGACCATAGCCTTTTTGAGAAAAGCATCAAGAATGGGAGGACAGGTGGGATATTGGAGGAAGGGTGTTGGGAAGGTCAGAATAGAGAACCCACAGTCCTAAACAGTCAGTGCTTATCAAGGTGATGCCAGTGCTATTAAGAAAAAATGGACTCCTCTTCTTGAATTGTGACTATCCCTGTGAAGAAATGAGAATTCAGATCTACCTGCATCTCATTTCGTTGTAAATCTGATTACTGATGGTTTGCTACTTTTTGTTTATACTTTGGTTTGTGCACGTTATTTTTCGAAATCTGATATCCATCTTCTCTGCCAGATTGTCAGGCTGGGATGGCAAAGGCTGTGGGGTCTATTTTCTCTTCATAGTCTATCCAGCTACCTGGCACAAAGGAGCTGTTTGATAAGTAACTGTTGAATGAATGAATGGACGAATGAATGAATGAATGAATGTGGTAACAAAACCAAGTTTCTGAGCCTTCAAAGCTGAAAACCAGAGAAAGCGATGGTGAATTCACTAGGGTGAATGGCTCTTTTTTCAGCTGTGTGGGAGCCATATCTAGCTATACTTGTATTATATTCTCTGTCTTCTAGCCAAAATATATGTCTTGGACAATGACTGGCTAATTTGAGTGGTCAGTAATATATGTTTTAATAAATCTAGGGCTGATTAGCTGTATGTAAATTCTTCAATTTCACTGTAACTATGTCGGAATAACCTCTAGTCTTTGAACCTTTCAGTATTCATGGTCAAGAGAAGTTTTGGTTGGTGCAAAATTGAATTCCTAGGACTCAACTTAAAAATAAAAGTCCCTTTGAGATTTATGGTACCAACATGTAGATGTGCCGCTTTTGAGCAAGTATGGGATCTTGATAATTATTTTTGTCAAACATTTATGCAGCGTTAATCATGTGGCCAGCAAAATCCTACCTTACAAATCAGTATTTGCAAATAACAACCCTCAATAGGTATTGTTATTGATTTCTTGTCCTTATTTTCCAGGGGGTGAAAACTGAGGTACAGAGAGATTAGCTAACTTCTCCATGGCCATAGAGCTAGTAGGTTTAGGAGATAGGATTCAAACTCTGGCACTTGGGTTCTAGAAACAATGTATTTTTCACCTCCATGCTGTACTGCTTCTTTAGAATAAAAACAACTACCGGTTCATGTGGTATTTGTAGTAAAGTCTGAACAGCAGTGTGCTATTAAGTCGAAGCATTGTACTACTAATACCCACTGATACAGCCCAACTCTGTGTGTGCTTTGTATCCATGGGCAAAGAAAGCTTTAAGGCAACATTCCTTTCTTTGTTTCTGATGCCACTTGGGACTCTCATTTCCTCTGTGCTTTTCCATTGTGTGGTGATGGGCACCAGTAGCTGCTTGTTCAAGGTGTGGTTGACTCATTTGTTGTCTCAGCGCGGTCATGTAACCCCTCCTCAAACTTGACTTCTCCCTGTTTGACATTTTACCAAGAATTCCTTTGGAGCCTGTTCCTTGGTTGCAACTGTGGCAGTCCAGATAGTCATCCTTATTTGACCACAGCTGTCTGTAATTGTAAGTCCTTTCCTTTTTGGTACTATTATTTGTGATGATACCTGCTGGGGATAATTTGAGAAGAGAGAAACCAGAATTTGGGAAGAGAAAATCATGATAAAAGTATGGAGATTTTTGCATCTGAGCCCTGGGAGGGACATAAAGTAAATTAAATCCAGGTAGGCCTTTTCTGTTTGGGGAAGAAGGAGACACCGTTTTTCTTGTTTGATCTATCTGCTCTGGAAATGATCACTGCTGAATCCAAATGAGCCTTTTTACCTATATAGTCTGTATCCAAGTCAACAGTAGGCATTACTTTTTGAGTGTTGTTTGTACCTACCACCAAGGAAAGCTGCATTTTCATCCCATTTTGTGTATGTAGCTTCCAGGTTAAGACAGGGTTAAGTCACTTGTCAAAAATCATTCTTTTTGAAAGAGGCAGACCTGGAATTCAACTCTAGGAATGTTTCGGATGCCCTTCTATCACAGGACACTGACCCTCTTATACTTCCCTTTTCAGTTTAGTTCATCAGACATGTCGTTGAGTGCCAATTATGTGCTGGAAGATAAAAAAGATAAGGAAAATTCTTAATAGAGCTTATGTTGTAGTAGAGGAGATCAAGAAGTGCTACAAAGCAATAGGGTCCATGTGCTAGTAGATGTGTGACCCTGAGTGGAACAGAAGGAAGGAAGGGTTTCCTAAAGTGGATTCTTGATGAATATGGAAAAGTTTGTCATTCTGTAACATGGGTGGAGGAGAAGGTAGGTGATAGCATGAACAATCGTTATTACCTTTGAGAAACTGAAAGTAGTCAGGTGTGATTTGCACATAATAGGTCTGCCGGATGGAGTTTTGACTGGAGTGTCTAAGTTTTCCTAGCATACCAAGGAGTATGAGTTTCAGCCTATAGAGACAGGAGATGCTAAAGGGATCTCCAAGATAAATGAACATCAATTCCTTGTAGGTAGGGGAATCATACAGTTAATCACACAAACTGAGATGCTTTCAGCAATGAAACAGACACTAACTGGTTGGGGTTCTAGCACAGTAGCCATAAATCCGGGACTGTTCAGGGCAGCCTGGAAGATATGGTCATCTTCCTGCTTCCTGCTACTGTTTCTGCTTCCTGTTGATAGATAATTTATCTAGGTTCCTTGTAGGTTCTCTTTTGGCTTTTTCAACGCAAAGTTCAACACTGGGCTTCTTCCGTGGTAATGAAGAGTTTTTATTTTTTTGGTACCAGGGATCAAACTCAGGCCCTTGTGCTTGCGAGGCAGGCAGCAGAACCACTGAGCTAAATCCCCGGCCCATGAACAGTTTTTTAAAGGCAAGTGTCTATCCAGATTCAGAATTTCAGAGTGCTAAGGGGTCCTCTGAAAAATCACTTTGACGAGGTCCTTCATCTTAGAAACAGAGAGACTGAAGCACCCAAGTTAATTGAAAAATTTAGTTTT